CTGGCTTTCATTGCATGACTACTGGTTCTTTTGCATTAGATATTGTCCCTACAGTGTTGGCACAGTGAGGTTTCAAAATAGACTTAATATACTTTAGAGGTATGTATACATTTAATTTTGTACACAAATAAACCATGAATGAGACCACAGTTTTTCTGATGAATAAAACAATTTCAGATGTATGGTGAGATGTGTATGTATGGTAAAGAATGCAGTAATAAGCTTAGATTGCACTGAGACAGAAACACTCTGTGTTCTATGTTTTCTTAGAACTGAGAAAGAATATGTCAGTTTGATCAAATAGAATAATCATAAAAAAGTTTGTAGTTTTTCACTGAAGAAACACACAGAGTTGCTAGATAATCTGCACCACACCATGTGAGAAATTTGATGGACCCAGTGTTTTCATTGGTATTGGTGAAGGAATGTTTTACAGTTGAGGCAATTACATCACTTATGATTTTGTGCATTAATCTTTATGAAGTGAAATCATAATTACTTGTTTGTTGGAAATTGATGGTCAAGGTCTACAAACTTAGCAAGTATATGCTTAACTGTCTGCAATTTAACCAAACTACATTGAAACTACTTGATCCACATGTGTTTTTCAGCCAGCACATCTCTGATATGTGATGATAACCAGCATACATAGATTACCTTACTCAATTTTTGCCACAGGATGAGTTATATACAGGGAATGTGGTGAAAGAAAAACTTGTGCATGTTTGCAGCAATACATAACATGAAAATAATTTTCTAATCAAATTTGATATTTCCATTTATTTACTGTTATTGATCATTCCAACAATTGATTAATTAAAGCTGTGATTAAATAAATTGTCAAAATAATCAAAATTAGGGTTTCCAATTGCTACTTTTATCAATCATTCCAACTACGTGACTAATTGAAATATTGTTATTATGTTTCTTTGTTATTAAGCACAAAATTGTATCTTTGCATTGCCCAAATATAATGATATTAGTTGTTTATATTATTGCAAAGATACTAAGGCTATCTGCTGCTGTCGCTAATTTGAACTGCTTACTAGAGGGAAGGCAAAAGGCAACTGCCTGGAAGCATCAACTGCCAACTTCTTTCTGAAGTGCTGACTAGAGTGAAGGCAACTGCCTGGCAGTACCCACCTTCAACCTGTTTTTGCTTACTCACCTGGATTTGAGGAACACTGTACTAATTGATGAATCAAATGCAAGTGAATGATGGGACCACCTACTAAGATTACTAAATACTACTAATTGCCCAGCTGCAGTAGAATTTCAGTATAGGAATGTGTGGGTAATGTTTAACCCTTATTTGGGTTCAATCTTGGCACAATGTAGGTTCTTGGGTAGAATGTTTTATCTGTCTGAGCTAAAGCTGCTACAGCTGCTGTTTTCTTTTTGTTCTGCAGCCAGTTTGAAGTTACTACTTCATATCTCATCACGAGAGAAACAATGTTAGGGCAAGAAGATCTGTTACGCGCATGTGGCACCTCATCATATCACTGGTTGTACCCTTCCACAAACTTGTCATTGAGGATATTATTATGATCTGCTGAAGCTATTGCAGTGTATGCTTTACTGTACAAATAGTGCATATTCTTCATATAAGTGGTCAACGTAACTCTTGTACTTCTTCTCTAAGCTTTGAACTTGGTCCAATGGCTTGTTTGATTTTCCACTGGCTTTCACTCTTTCAAAGTTGCACCTCATTCAAATTCATCCAGGCTCAAGATCAGATGTTGTGCAGCATGTTCTGCAGATCTGCCATTCCAAGTAATTACCTGCCTGAAATGAAATCAGGAAGCTAGCTGTCCATATCATCTTTTGCTGCACTCTTGAATATTGGAGGTAAGATCTGTTTTATCTCATACATGAGGACCCATGGTTATTATTCAGTTATTATTTTGCATGCAATTTATGACAGTTAATTAATAAACTGATTTTTATCTAAGTTATTTTCTAGGCTACATCCTTAGGTGTAGCAGTGTTTCAGGAGTTAAGTCTCTTTTTGTTTCTTTAGATATTTAATTTCAAAGTATCTTGTATCATTAGCTCATTATATTTGTGTAGGCCCTTCTTGCAACTTGTACCTAAAAACATGGGCGTGGTTACTTCTCTGTTTGATGATTATGTTTTACAATTCCTGTTTTCTTCATTTTATAGTAGTCAAAAATTGTGATGAGCTCTAATGAAGTTTTGTCTAATCAGTGGTCACTCCCAGTAGCAAAGCTGTATGTCTGAAGACTTACAATGCTAGAGACCAGGTTTTGATACCTGCGGTGGGCAGAGCACAGATGTCTCATTGTGTCGCTTTGTGCTTAATTACAAACAAATCTAATCGGCATTCCTTAGGTTTTTAATATGACAGCTTTTTTTTATATTAACAGTTGGACATTCACATTGTTGCAACACAACTTTCTACATACATAACAGGTTTATTCTAAAACAAAGGAATAATATTCATAAGATTGGATGAGCCCCCTGTATATCAATAACTATTTTAAATTCTTAATCTATTCATTATACTACACTACATAACTTAAAAAGAAAAAGGAAAAACAAGACAATTGTATGTTTCACAAATACATCCTTTATTCACAACCATGATGATGCCTTTTCTGGCAAAATCATGGTCGTGAATAAATTATGTATTTGTGAAACATATAGTTGTCTCATTTTTCCTCAATTCCGTGAACTTGTAACTATCTCCGGTCCTCTCTTCTCACAAACTGTTATTAAAAATAATTCAAAATTGTATTTTTGAAGAACTTTTTTACTTGATACATATTCTGGTAAATTGTTTAAAATTTTCTTGCAAGTGTTTTGTAGTTACCTCACATTCTTGTGAACTGGATGTGAAAGATAAAGACCATAAACTTGCATTAATCCTTTAACTTAGATGAAGGTTAAGTAACATAATGATCACTCTGTAAAAGGCTTATAACTCACAAACTTTTTTTCTATATCATCATTCCTCTTATGATATGTATCTTTCTCAAGCTGAGGGGTGGTACAGAGCCTTGTGCAAGTTAGCATGAGCTGGAGTTCATTTTCTTTTACATGTATAATAAGAATGATCATTGATATAGGTAATCTAGGATTGTCGGATATTGCACTAGGAATTTTATTCTGACTTGACACTACAACATATCAAGATTCTAGCTCTAGTCTTCATCTATGACTTAGTTATGTATATTCCACCAACCCAAAAACTCAACTGCAGTTGTATTGCAAACTTGGAAGACAGCCATTGTTGGAAGACTACAGCAATTCTATTATGAATAAAGAATTTGTTTTATCTGTTTATGTATGTTTGCTTGTTTTTGTACTCTTTGAAACCATTTCATAAATCTGTTACTTGTTGTGAACTAACAAATGATTGCATAAGTGTAAAAATAAAAAAGAACATCGTGTCTAGCTTTCACTATGGGCATTTTTTCGTGTGCATGCCATGAGGTTTTAGTGAGTTACATTTTAAATTTAATTAAACTACTTTCTTATTACGGTATACAAATAAACTTGGCATCAAAATGTAGCTAATTATCCATATTTTAATATTATATAAATTTTAAGTTCTTAATTTTATAAGGCAATACTAAAAATAAATTTCCAAACTTCAACTAGTATGAGAATTGTGACATTTGCTTTCCAGGTATCACCTCTTCTCTGATTTATTTACCAACCTAGGTTTTCATAGGTTTCTGAAATTACTTCACCTTCATTTGCAGCTTCACTACTAAGCAGTTGCAATGACAAGTAGCTTAATTTTCTTGATAACATTTTCTTCGGTTTAATAAAGAACACCCTCTTTATTGCAGGAATTTTTCACAAATTTAGTAAGATACTTGTTTCACTTTATTTTCTCTCACTTTTCTTACTGTATGTAAACCACAGCTTGATTACCGACTATCTCTATAAAACACACAAATTTTCCATCTATGAAATTGCTAAAGATTCTGTCTGGTTTCAATGATATAAATATGCTTTAAAAAATAACCATTCAGAAAAACTATATTGCATTATTTACTTTCAACTTACACTAAGTAAATAATGATATAACTATTCTAGGTTTTTCTATCAAGTTATAGAAAATTTTAAAAAAGCTTTTTCAAACACTTGGACTTGAAATTAAGAAATAACTGGAAATAGAGTATGGACACTTTAAATTGGAAATATTGACTAAATACATATTATCTTGCTCCATCATAAATAGAATGTATTTTATTGTAGATATTTTTAACCAAATGTTCAAATGTTTTATAACAATTGCATTTAAAGTTTGATCAACATTTGCAAATGTGCAGCATATTGGTTTTCTTATTATAATGTGTGTATTCTTATTTGGTTTTAGAACATGCTTTTATAGAAACTTTTAAGGTGTTGTTCCATTCTCTTGTGTGTGCACACATTACCTCATTTATACCCTTATTTTCCTTTTAAAATTGTTTCTCATTTACTCATTGTATGCCGATGTTTCATTTACAAAGGTTTTATTTACACATTGTCTATGTATTAACCTTTTTTATTTATATTTACAAGCTGTTTTTTTCTAACCCCAGTAATTTTGTTCAACAATATTGGTATTCAGTATTAGTGTAATAAATGCTATCTTTTTGAACATTCATCTAGAATCTTCAACACAGTTTTATTGTTTTTTGTATGTTATATCACATGATTAGTTTTTTTGACTGTTTTGAAAACACCTTTAAGTATGCCTGATTTTTAATCAATTACATTTAGTTTTTCTAATTGTATTCAGCAAATGAGATGATTGAATTGTTGGAAATAGATTTTTTCTTCTGTAGTTGAAGGTTCTTTTTTTTTCAAGAAATGTATTGAGCAAAATACTTTAATCATCATTTTACACATGAACAAATTTATGTTAAATCTTATTTTGAACCATAGTAAATTCATAACAGTACACACTGTAAAATGCCCTTGTGATTGGTTAAGATACCTCAGTATATTTTTTTGTTTTGATCAGATGATCACTTTTTCAGAGATCAAGTCCTAAGCCAGGACATGTGGAAAGAGTAAAATCACCCATAGAGGAATTAGTTCTTTCTACCACAGTCATTTCAGATGCAAACAAATGTGGAACACAATTAGGTGCTGCAAGCACAAAACATTCTGTTCCTACAACTGCTAAAGAGTTAGACAAGGAGTGTTTAGAAAAATTTTTGAAAATTGATGCAAGGCACATCACAGATGGACAGGTGAGATTTCCAAGTTGTATATTTTCAATAGGTAATTTCTGCCATAAATTACACTAACTCAGTTAATTGATATGTACTGTAGGTTTTGCAGATTATGTTTGTTATTATTGTAGTAATAGGAAATTACTTTGGTCCTAGCCCATTCTTAACTAGCTTGTGAATGTGTCTTATTTAAAACATTTTAATTATCAAAACAAGCTTTAACAACTACAACAAAAATGCTACATATATTGAAAAGATCACTAGGGCATAGGCTATAATGTGGGATATAACATGTGCCCTGGGTTTTGGAGGTGACTGCAGAAGTAAGACCCACATTGTGGAGGGGATACACCATTTACTAGTCTTAACTTCCATTTGCTAGTCTCACATGTTAAAGAAAGAAGAGTAAACATAAAATAAGTAATAAAAATAAGAAGTTAGGAGATCAAGTTATAAGTGCTCAAGCACACAACATCCCACATCTATATCACCCATCATTGCCTGCAGACAGTTGTGGGAAAGTGACTGCTCTCCAAAGAAATGTAAAATGAAAGAAAAATAAAAATAAATAGGGATCTGCTATTGAGGGAAAGAACCTTACCTCTTGATGTTAACACTCCAGCCCCCATTATAGTAGTAAAAGCTGAAATCAGTAGTTCAGTAGACAAATTATACTTGTATAAAAATACAAAAACCCAACCAAGTTATCTGAACTAGTATAACCTTCACCTTCACCTGTTAAGTTTACTTATAGTCTACTTTAACTACTAATTTCCAGACTTTGTCAACTCTTTATAAGAGCTTTTATATTTATGTACAATAATGTTGTTAATACATGCATGAAAATAGTGCCAAGATGTTTAAATGACCTTATTAAAAACTAAAAATATTAACTGGAAATTTCAATCAATAAACTTTTAACTCTTCTATATATTTATATAATACATTTTTGTATTTACCACAAAATTTTTTCTTAATTTTATTTAATGCTTATTTGTTAAATCCATTAGGTATTAGTTTTTTGTAAATATCTCAACATTAATAAGGAAATATCGTAATTTATTACAAATATTCAAGAATCTGAGTGATGGATATACATGAGTGTTTCATTTTATATTTAAGTTTAATGTGAATGTTTACATAGCTCAAGTGCTAAATTTAGTTATTTTTAGAAGCAATAGTTTATCAGTTTATCGCAGGTTTGTTTACATAACTGTGCAAATCACATGCTGTTTAACTGTTGTGAATTGGTGCTTGTTGTATTATTGCATCATGTTATTCGAACCTTCCGATTTTTCTCATTGCTTTAAGTAAGTATTGTTGCATCATACATCTAGTAGTGTGTGGAATGTTTGAGACTGCTCTCATGTATGTGTCTGTTTATATATATACATTGAAAAATTAGTTCAATATAGAAAGGAATTAAGTAAGACAAAGTTAAGTGAAATGAAGTTAAGTTAGTAAGAGATATAGTCAAATAGATCTAGACTGTGTTTCTAAGCTTAGCCATAAATAGCATATAGTGACATTTTGTTTTCAATGAAATTAACACAGATTGTATTGTAATAACAGAGTAGAGAAGAATAGTTTGTCTTGTCAGTTGTTTTGTAAAGTAATTGAACAAGCCTATGTGGACATTTGATGAAAAGAGACAATTACGTAAAGCTCTGGATACAACTGTGGTAACCAACAGTGTAATATAAGTGAAATTATTACCAATTATCTTGTAACAGCAGAGCAGAGGAGAATAATTCATCTTGTCAATTGTGGTCTAAAGTAACTGAACCAGCCTTTGTGGAATTTGGGGAAAAGAGATGATTATTTAAAGCTCTGGATACAACTGTAATGATTAACTGTGGGAAAAACATTTGTTTACAAGTTTGACTTGTTTTAATATATTATTTTAAAACAAATGGAGTGTGTGCTCTTTGTTTATTGTTCAAATTTATTGCCAACAAGTCATAGACACTTACTGTAAAGAATCCTTGCCCACACACACACACATATGTAAAAACCTGACACTGAGCAATTGTGAAGTTATAACAAAAGAATATGGCATATTACAATTAGGAGAGAGTAGGCTGTATATTCAAAAGGAAAATCCCCCCAGTGGCACAGTGGTATGTCTGTGGACTTACAATGCTAGAAACTGGGTTTTGATACCTATAGTGGGCAGACAGCCCATTGTATAGCTTTGTTCTTAACTACAAACAAACAAAAAGACATTTTTTTTTTCTTTTATGAGAAACATTTAAATTAATATCATGATTAATTATTTTGATTTCAACATCTCGATAATATGGTTCTACTTCAGAAATTGGAGTGTTTTTAAGTATTATTTATACCAGTTAACTCATCAATATATCCATTAATTAAGGCAAAAATATCTGGATTTATGATGTTTTCAATAAACTTGTTTTTGTAGAAATAAAGATAAATTAGCTATACGAGTAGAATAGTTAGCTCCCTTTGGAACTCCTATTACTTGAAAAAAATATAATTATTGCAAATACAAAAACTTAATATATTTTTTATATTTTTGGTGTTAAAATTTCTTTTCTTAAGTAGTATGGAACGGTTACAGTATTGTTGAATTAATAAATTCATAACTGAAATTAAATCTTTCAGTGGAATTGTCATATACAGAGTGGTAAAGTCAACTGTTTGTATAGTTTTAAATTGTTCAGAATTTTGTTTATTAAAAAATTGTTAATTTTTATAGCTCAGAAGTCTGATTATGTCAATAAATATTTAATTGATTCTTCATTTAATGACAAAAAAAATTGCCAGTTAAGTAGGTTTTTGTAAATATTTTTTTAGATTTTCATTTAAGTATTGAATAGTTTTCATATGAAATACAAGGAAGCATTTCCTCAGGTTTTTCTCAAGATATGCAGTAATCACCCCTGAGTTACATTTATTCAAAATGTACAATAGTTTTAAAATCAAATATATATATGTTATAATTGGTTGAGTGAGGTTAGGTGTAGAAGTTCATGTTTATTGAGATACCAAACAACAGAAAGAGAGTCACTGATTTCATATGAATGATTTTATATCCTGAAATATATTAAAGCAAAATTATTTTGAAGTTAATATGCTTTTTGAAAAAAACAAAGTTCCACATAAAACTCCAAATAGTATAAAAAACTCAAACCTGCATTAGTCCTTGGTTTAATAGTATTTTTTAGAACTATATGATATTTATGTAGTTATGAATTTAGAAATTTATTATTTTCTAAGTTTTTTTTCTATTTTCCACCAATAATAGTTAGCATTACTGTTAAATATACAATATGTTGATGCATTTTAACTTCAGTTAGACTTAGTTGTGTTTGTTTAAAACATGCGCTATGGGCTCAGCTGAATCAGCTGAGCTCATGACCCCAAATTGACATTTATAGTTTCCATACTATAACTTCTAATATGTTTTATGTATCTTCACAAAATTTTACAAGATTTCAATAACCAAGAGTCATTTATAGACAAAAAATCAGAATTTTTAATGAAATGTTTTCACTAAAATTTCTCCATGAATATATGGAGTCAAAGGGTTGACTGCTCTGGGTGCAAAGAGATTTTCATGTTAAGATTAAAAATACTTCTTATGAAAAATCTCAAATTTTATTTGCATAACCGATAGAACCTCCTAAGCAAATCTTAAATGTTTTTTTGTAAAATTCTTTATTTATCTGTTATTTTCTCTACCCTAACTTTACACAAGGTTGGTCAATTTTCCCAACCTCATAACCACCAAAAGAAAAATCTAAATAAATAAAAATTACCCTTTTCTTCTTTCTAGAATGAATTCAAATTGTAACATGAAACCAGATTTCTCTATTCTAAATTGCTTTAAACTCATAATAGTATACATTTGTTTATGCATAGATTTTATTGTTTTATTGCCCTTTGAACTGGGTCTAACTAATATTCCTGCCACACAAGTTGTAAATCACTTGATGAATATGTAGCTCACATTATTCTATTGAATTACAGTAATGCACGGGCTTCTCATGAGTTGCTTGTGAGTGTACCTCTAGAAAAATTATTATTATTTCTTTTTTTATTTTACCTAATCTAACCTAATAAGTTTGTAATTTTTACATTTTAGTTACTTTTATAATAATAAATAAAGAATATAGATGAAAAACAAGAAGTATGGTACTAACGTGGGTCTTCTTTTTCTCTACTGTTTACTGTCGATGAAACTTTACCCTACTTTTTATATTAATGGTACTACTACACTAAATAATTTTTTATTTAATTAAATAATGCATCAAAGAACATGGAATAATAACATGTAAAAAGCAGACAGTGTCTGATAACTATCACATTTTTTCTGGCTTTCTAACTTTGCAACAAGAGGCATTAAAAATTCAGTTAAGCTTGTTGATGTGTTTTCTGTGGGAATAAAGTTTGAACTGGAAGCAAAATAGACAGAAAACAATATAATAATATATATCATTTGATAGATTAAAAATGTGGCTTTCTATTGGTTATAAATAATGTAGTATTGAATGTCAGAGAGAACTATTGGGAATTTGTGAAAAGAGGATGTTACAAGTTGGCATGGCAAGTGGGTCTGGTTTTCAAGTTTGTGGCTCTGTAAAGAAATAAGATTGAATGATATAAAAAATTATGCTTTGCCTGAGCAATGACAATATTATTATGAGTAATTTACATTACATTTGTACTTCTTGGAGGAGTGGTAAATAAATTAGAGAAGAGAGGATGCCTAGAGATAAAATGTCCTAATTCTCATACTAGAAGAAAGTGAGGATTTTTTTTTAACATTGCCTTATGAAATTAAGAACTTAAAACATATTTAATATCAAAATATGGATAATTAGCTACATTTTGATGCCAAGTGTATTTGTATATCATGATAATAAAGTTCTTCAATTAAATTTGGAATGTAACTCAGTAAAATCTTGTGACATGCACAGAAAATGATGCCCTGCATAATACTGACAAAGTGAAAAATATTTTATTTTTTAACAGTTGCTCAAAAAGAAACTAGTATTACTTTTTCTCATTACAAGTTTAAATATTTTCAATATTGTTTTCCTTGCACAATCACCAGAAAATTTCCTAATTCCCATGGTGTATGATGATAATTAGATCTAAATCTTTGTGTCTGCTAATGTGATGCTTTTTTGTTATTGTGAGCTATTTTTTCTTGCATTCCATCCTCTTGTTTTAGAGGACTGAAATGTTTTCAGTCAGTTAAAACTCAGTTATTATGATTATTCATAAATATAAAATATGTAGTGAGTAACTATCTATTTTTTCATTAAATTTCACCAGTGGCTTAGTGGTAAACTTGAGGGTTATAATGTTAAAATTCATGGTTCAATCTCTGCAGTTGCCCATTGTGCAACTTTGTGCTTAACCCTAGAATGGTTAGTTTAATATACAAGTTTAGCTTGTATGAGATCGTAGTGACACCATGCTAAAGTTCTAGGGTTAAAAACAAATGATCAAACTGGATGATTAATTGCAGCTGGAGAACAAGGAATATACTATAAAATAAAATCTTGTTTTACATACTTGTTGATAATTTATGTTATACTGATGTTGATTTTAGTAATAAGGTTTGTGCAATGTCTTCTCTACAGTTTTGAGGTTTTTACAAACATCAAGAACTTGTGGTTGGTATTCAGTGCTATACCTTTATTAATTGACTATGGAAAAATAACTATATAATGCTTGTATAACATATAATTATTATATTAACAGTATTTAATTTGCAGCATTTTTTTTCATGTTCTTTAAACCATTGTAACACTGTTGAATGTCTAACAGTGATAAAACTTTCAAAATACTAAGCATAAAACTATTATTTCTTTTTAATAATTTAATTTTGTTATTCACAGTGGTAGTGGTTGGTATCAAATAATTTTGATTCTGAACCTTGCTCAAGAAAAGTCATAACACTTATAAATGCTGCCTAAAACTTTTGATTTTATGAATTTTTTTTTCTTTTGTGTGTAAAAGATTAAGATTTATTCAAAACTACATAATTTTCTTTTTCTAGGGTGTGGTAAGTGGAGTCTTACTGGTCACACCTAATGCACTGATGTTTGATCCAAATGTCTCTGACCCATTGGTTTTGGAGCATGGGGCTGAAAGCTATGGTGTAATAGCACCTATGGAGATGGTTTTTCGAGCAGCTTTATACCATGATATTGCTCATATGAGGGTGAAACATGCTCCCGAGTGGTCGTAAGTTATTAAATTATCTAACTTAAGTCAAACAAGTTTTAAGTGAGATGGAAACTTTTCAGTTACTTATAGAGAAATGAATAATGAATAATAAAGAACTAAAGGTAATTTATATATGGAGCTAAATTGGTTAATTTCTGGCCTTAGTTTGTGTATGAACAAGCTCTCTTTTATACAGAGGACCTGTTCAACACTGGCCTTTGCTAAGATTTTAAAATGATTTGAATGGAAAATTATGTCATACTCATCTAGGGCTTTTTCTAGCATATTCTTTAACATGAGTTCACAATTTTCTTTTATTGGACCTAATGTATCCTTGCAGACAGTAGAGACAACTAGGTTTATATACTACATTTGATGCAGGTATATAGTCCATAAATTGAAATAAAAAAGATCATAGATGATAATTTGGTTTAAAAACACATCTTAGCTGTATTTGAGCATATACTCTACAAAATACATTTCTTAACTGGTTTTTATAATACAAAAATATTTACTCATTATATGGCAAGGTAATGAAACCACTTATTTATGAACTTCATATGTTGATGAAACCCTAATTATTCAGATAATTACAAAGTATTCTATCAATAACATATATATAAGAAAACCATTTTTTTGCATAAGAATTATTTTATGTTATTAAATTCTTTATGTAAAACTTCATAAGTACTACATATTTTTTGTGTATGATGAAACAAAATCTTAACTAACTTTTCTTCACAAACATTTGCTACCAAGCTTGTGAAGTTAGAATACAGTATAGTAAACTTTTCTTTATGGTATAATTCACATTGAAAGTCATCATTATTGTTGTGAATCAGTTTGACCAGAAAAGAGAGTTTATGATCTTGTTGATGTTCAACAATAAATTTTATCTTGCTATGTTTACTGTTCAAGTACTCAAAAATTGAGAAACTTGATGAGAGTTTCTAAAAACGGTAAAAGTATCTTCTACATATCTACGACAGTAAAACGGTTTGAATGATTGTGAACAGACTTCAAACCATTTATTTTTATGGTAGCACAGAAAAAAAAGATTGGCTCAAGAAGGCACCAATCTGGAACCCATAGCAAAGCCATCAATCTGATTGCAAAAATTGATGTCAAGGGAAAAAAAAAGAGATTCTTTGTTGAGAAGTTTACTAATTTTAAAAAATCTGATTTGGGAGTACTCAGATTATCAGAAATCTTGTTAAAAATAAGGTCTGCACTCAACTGTTTAGTTTTTTCTAATGCCATGTTTGTATAAAACAACTCAACATCAAAGATGGCACAGTAAAGGTTACTGTCAAACTCCATTTATTGTATTTCACTGGATAATTCAAAGCTGCATTTCAGTGTGTGTTCGATGTTGGTACAAGTCTTCAAAAATTCAACCAAAGAAACCAACTAAAGCATGGTTGTAAGTTCCAGAGTTAGAAACTCTAGGTTGCAATAAACATTCTTCTTTATGAATTTTAGGAACACCATAAAATACTTCTGGATGACTGCCTGATGGTCTAGTATTCAAAATTGTTTTTCATTTAGATTGTTATCCTTTTTCAGGTTTAAAAGATACCTCTGTAACCTACCTTTCCTTGTATTAGAAGGGTCACAGTGTAGCTTCACAAATTCGGAAACGGTACTATCTTCTCACACTCATAATTGTCTTGACCTTCATTTGCTCTCTAGGCATTGGTAATTTATTTTAACAGGACACCAGTATTTTATATCCTATATTTTTCGTGTAATTGCAGCAACATATGCTGATCATGTCACCACCCTCCACCAATTGCATTGTGCACTCCATACTAGCACTGGTAGCTCCCTCCACCATTGTGGCACAATTCTCACTTTCTCAGTGGCATTCTCATGTATAGATGTGTGTTTTAACTCATTCTTCAAGTGACTGAATAATTTTGATTGTGCTTGGTCACCAATTAATATCTGATTGAAGAACATACCTGTTCCAGAAGTAGTGCTACACTCCACAGGTGTGCCTCATATTCTATTTGTGGCACATCTGCTTTTTTCTTAGTGGTCGCTCTCCACTTGATTATTTGTTTTGGTGCCTTCACTGGCCCCTCCACCTTTCTAATGTGGGATTCTAGCTATGGGGGATAAGAGGTAGTACTGTTTCGGAAGTTAGCATTTTCTAGTAAGGAAAATGTATTTCCGATAGGTACTTATCTCCCCCACTTCCCATCCTTCCTCCCCACTGATATGCTGGTTTTTTCGGGTTTGTATGAACCAATTATTGAAAGTGAGAATTGAGCTTTCACACATTAATCAGCCTATTTTCAGGGTCGTGACTTAGTCATCAAATAAATTCAGTTACATTTAGAAAAATTATGAATAAATGTCATAGAACCAAAAGTAATTTATATGCACAGCCTGAAGTTAACCAAGTTAGCACCACACATATATATTACCTTTGGTTCTACAGCATTTCTTCATCAAAAAAAAGGTTTATTAGTGTTATTTTAACAATGGTTTCATTACAAAATTTTTGGAAATTTCACAGCCAAACAATTATATGAATTCTAAATCCAATTATATGAACTTTTTAAAACAGAAACTAGATATTGTATAGAAAGTTTGTAGTAAGTTTCATGCTGTTTGGTTGAGTATTTCCACTTTGAGAAGAGGGTTATCAGGAATATTAGTGATATCACTCTGGTCTTGAAAAGGTTGAAACCACTTTTTTGTGTGTTTTAATTGTCTGGTATATTAAGATTATGATTAAGTTGCAAAATCACAGAAGCTTTGAAATTAAGTGAATTTCATCAAAGAAACAAATCAAGTCTTTCTACTTATTTATATTCTGAATGTTCAAACTAACATTAAGCTGTTTTGTATTTTCTAAGTGTTTCAATCATGCACTTTTATTAAGTTGTATTAATACATTTTACTTTCTTATTAATCTTGCTAGGATATTCATATTGCTAAAATATTGTAGTTATTTTTAAAATGGTGCTATTGTGTCATTATGTTTAGGTTTTTAAGCAAGTGCAGATGTTTTCACCTTTACAAGTAGACATGTATTTTTCACACCTACTGTGCAAAATATCTTTTTTCATTTGATCATCTTTTGAAATTTTTTAATGCAGTATTTTATTATAATCAGTGAGGATGACAAGCATGGTAAAATGTTGTCTACAGAACATTCTGGTTACTACATATTAATGTTTATTTCATTACATGTTGAGTGAAAAATACCAAGGTTAGCTTCTTATTTATTTAAACATGTATATATATATATATATATATATATATAGTGTAATAAATTTTGAATTGTCTTTGTTTTGTATATAGCATGATTGGAGTTACACATACATTTTTTTCAATTACTATTACAGACATAATCTTCCAAAACCAGATGTATACCATTCACCATTGAGTATTCCAGTTTCAGAAGATTCACATGTGCAAAAAACAGAAGCTATAACAAGTAAACATAGTGAAGGTTTTGAGACTATAGTAATAGAACAAGAGAAAGCAGGCAAAACTGAACTCTCCAAAGATTTAAATGTGGCAAAAATAGACAGTGAAACAGAAGAGTTAGAAAATGTAGGTACAGAGCAATCTTTCCAGGACATCCCAGAAGGTCCTACTGGAAAGGACTTTGATCAGGAAGTTGCTGAAGCATTCACTCATAAAAAGGTTCAGTATGATTTAATTGAAAGAAAAAGGCCAGCAAGTGTTGATACTTGTCAGTATATAAAGAAGGAAGAAGTTACTTGTACTCTAGGAACATTAAAAAAATTTTCACAGAAGGATAATATTAAAAGTAAATCTGCTACAGATAACTTTGCAAGAGCAGATGTTGTCGATGACAGTGGTATGTTAATCATGCCTCATGAAGACAAAAGTCTTCATAATCTTGTTACTAGACAGCGTTCTGCCAGTCCTCACTGTGTGGTAGAGAGTAGGCGAGAGAAAATGATTAAAAGATTATCTTACCCAATGGAATCTCTGTCTTCTTATACAGAATCTATTTCTAAACTCATTTCCTCATCACCAAAAAACTTTGTTAACTTTTCAAGTGGCTTGTTTGTATGGAGCTCTGATGAAGACACAAAAGTAAAAGATGTATCTACTATGAATACAACAGACAAAATGCCAGTTAATGAAAAGGGGGTTGTACAGAGTGATATTAGTTTTAGTGCTAAAGGAATAGAAGGTCAACAGCAACGATCAACAGATATTCCAATTGTTGGTTACAAAAACATGGTAGAAGATAAACCAGAGCTGTTTTATTCTCTTGACAGTAAGTACAAATCTGTAGATCAATATTTTGATGCTGTATACAGGATAAAATTATATTAGATTTACAAACCTTCCATTGGCTAGATGATTAATTTCAAAGAATCCAAATAAAAATTAACAAGAGGATGTACTTACTGTATACACGTTTGAATTATAAACAAATATGAAAAGTGAAAAATACATTGGAAATTTGATTTCTTTATGAAAACATATACAGTAACTAAATTACAAAATCACATAGTATAATATAATTTAACAGACCTTTTGAGATGTTGCTAGATAAGTTGTCAAAAACATGGAAGATAATTAGCTGACATACTAAGGAATCAAGAATACAGAGTCAAGATTCATGTTATAAAAACATTTATGGAAATCACATGCACAACATAAAGTTTTAGGAAGTACATTGTCAAATGTGACCTGATAATGCCAGGTTAACATCATGAACCACGGCAGTAGTTCATAAAAGGGATTGCACAGGAATGCTCAAAACTGTAATAGAACATTCAGGCAAAAACCAACTTAAAAAGGCAGGCTTATTCTTGAAGATCTTTTTCACATGTTAAGACCACCCAATCATTGATAATAAGGAAAATAAGTGATTTCATGATTGTTAGACAACATCAAAATTTGCCCATTTGTTCATATTATTATTATTGTTTCTCAAGCCTACAGCAAATTGGCTGGGTATTTGGTGCAAAAACCTAGACAGATATACTATATGAAATGCTGCAAATGTCCATGACCTACTTAAAAGTTGATTATTTTTCATTGAAAGTTGGTTTACATGGTTATAAATACATAATAAACACAATGTTGTTATGAGTGGCTGCCTTTGTATGCAACACCTGTTAAATGTATGTTTACATGAAACCTCAGGCACAAAGCCACCTGGCTATGTAAATGATTACTTTAAAAGACCTGAAGCTTTATTAAAAATGATGTTTTAAATGTATTTGTTTTATTTGAAAGACTGCTTTTCTACTGGTAAAATGTTATACATGATTAGTGGGGTTGTGTCTTACTCTTGGCATATATTTGCCCATTTCTGTGCATTAACAAAGCCAACATACAAGATAATTAAAAATTGAGAATTTAAAATCTATAAATAGGGATCACAAAAAGTAGGCAAACAATGCTGGAGATCTAATACTGACAGTTTGCTTAAGCTACAAATCCCTATTATGACTCCACTACAAAATGATTGCAAATTATACCTACTGTAATGTGAGATTGTACAGGAATTTTGCAGATAACTGAGAGAGTACTGTTAAACTTAATTCATTCTCCTTGATTTCATCATGTTTTGAAATTTTCTAAGTCCTTCACTTTCTGCCGTAAAACAATCCGGTGTTTCCCTAGTGTGCCTGTTAGTTGGAAACTACAACTCTTGAATATCTGGTGCATTAATTGTACACTGCCACATGAAAGGTTCCCAATTTTGCTGTTGCATATCATTACTCAAGTTTGTTGTCTTTATGTGGATTTCCAAAACCATATTTCAGCAATTTTTTGACAGTGGATGATTAACATACTACATTTTTCTACTTAGATTATGTTGGTGATTCTTTCTAATGTTCATAAACATACATGATTAACATACTACATTTTTCTACTTAGATTATGTTGGTGATTCTTTCTAATGTTTCTTTTACTTTGCTGAAATCATGAGTGAATGTTCAGGATTTATTACAACTGCATATAGCTATTGCTATTTTTAAATAGTGGAAGTTAAGGTAGCAGTTGTAAATGTTGTTGATAATTGGCAATTTACACTAAGTGTATTTGCTGTTGTCTATGTTGCATGCATTATTTGTGTCACCTTATTCAAGCAAACACTTGAGCACAGCAGGCTGTTGAAGAACGTACATATGTTTCATGTAGGCTTAACAAGGTAAGCATGTTACCAAGTCTGTTTATGTTAATTAACCTATGTTGTATTATCATAAAAGAAACAATATTCCATTCTGATGAGATTGCTTTGTTGCTGCTTGTCTTTTGTTACATTACATTGTGACATTGATGGAAGCTGGTCATTAGATCTGTGATGATACAATCTTTGCCTTCAAGATGGTCCTTTGAGAACAACTTTACATTTTTTTTTTATTTTGGTTGCATACCTGTACATGTGTTTATTCTTTGTTGTACAATTGTTAGTTATTTTAAATAAGCTCAGTGCAGTGGTTGGATGGAAAAATAGCCAGTGCAGCAGTAAATTGTTGAAAAAACATGCAACATTTAACTGAATGCATATGCACATATGAGGCTTAAAATTTACTCTCCATAAATGGACATAAAAAAACTCAAGAAACATGATTACTAAAAAATGTTATTTAAAAAGGGGAAATAGGGATCATCAATAAAGTACAGAAACAAGTTGAATCAAAGTGCAAAGATTATGTTTTCAAGCCTACAATTGGGGACTCTAAAAAAAAAAAGTAAGCAAACAAGGCTGTAAATATTGTCTACATCATTTTCTCAAACTACAAATCCCTATTTTGACTCCATTAAACTTAATAAGTACTGTAGATATGGAGTCAAAATAGGGATTTGTAGTTTGAGAAAATAATGTAGACAATATTTACAGCCTTGTTTGCTTTCTTTTTTTTTTTTTTAGAGTCCCCAATTGTAGGCTTG